AACAAAACAGGCCCAACACCGAACTCACTAACTTCCCCATTCTCCAAATGTGAGTTTATGCTGCATAAGCTGTTTCAGTTAATGGTCACCAAGCCAGAAACCTGGAAATTAACCTCGACTCCTCAGTCAGTCACCATATCTGGCCAAGAGCATCCCAATAGCTTCTCTTTGGTGCCTCCTCCTCTCTCCAATGACACAGTCTCAGCACACGCCCATATCATTCCTCTCAGCCCTCTATAATTCCAGATTCTGGTACTTCCCCGTTGTCGTCCATTTTTCAACTTCTCCTCAGAATAATCTTTCTGAAGTACCGTCCTAGTCACGTCATTCATCTGCCTAAAGCAGATGAGTATTACGTTTCCTAAAGCAGTGTTTTTTGTTTTTTGTTGTTTTACCCTTTTTTGTTCCTAGACCCTTTGAAAACTGTGCATCCTCACCTTAGACGGAGAGAGACATATGGCCATAAATCAACCTGTTGCCTACAAGCTCAAGGGCTCTGCTCCCTCTGAAGCTCATCTCATCAATGCCTAGGGATTCATGGAACCCACATAGTCCTCAGATTGGTCAGTCCTTTACAGAAGGTCCTTCACCTCCCTGTCCAGTCTCATCTCCCATATGCCCCACTACACAGAGGACCACTCTCCATTCCTGGAATACAGAGCCTCTCAAACGCTGATGCTGTACTCTTGGCTACCTACTGAACTACCTTGCAAGACCCATGTCCCCTCTCTCTGAAGTCTCCCTTTTTCTTCCAGAATGAATGGCTGTCTCCCTTTCATTCCATAATAACCCTTTCGTAGCAGTTAGCACACTGCCCTTCTGAGTGCGCTACCGGCTTTAGCTGGCAGACACGTGACCCTACTCGGCTTTGTTTCTGCTCCGTCTGCCCCTATGAACAAGGGCTGCTGCGTGTGCAGCTCCTGCTCCACAACTGCTTGTTTACTCCAAAGTGGCTCCCATCTCTCTTTTCTACAATAAATATATGCATGATGGTTTGTTACATTAAGCATTATTTGAGCTTTTCTGAAGTTTATTTGCTTATCTTTTCCTTTCTGCTAATTTTCATGTGAATTATTTAAACTCATCTTTAAAGAGTCCTTGTAGTTTTTGTTATGTACATAAGGCTAGCAACCGTAGAAACGACCAAGGTTCAACCATCAAGGGTCCTATTCCACACACAGTAAGAACAGAACACATGGAAAGTCACTGCAAATGGATTCTACCTGAATAAGAACTAAAAGACAGGAAAACTACAGCTAAGTCTTCATTTTAATGCAAAGCGCACAACTGACATCTTCCATCTCTACCTCACCCAGAAAAATCAAAACATCCATGCCAAGCACTTATCACTTTTTAGTTCTAGATAAAGTGAAATTTCTGTTTTACTTTGTTAGCTTGGAGAGTCTCACATAAATTTAATAAAGCTGACAGTCGATTTGCCCTCTGGAGAATCTGAAAACACTAAGAAAGAAGTATTTACTGATATTGTATAAATAATACACATTAAAATTGATTTTATAGTGTAATTGACTGAATATACAGTACTGCTGAAATTCATGAAATCAATCTTATCTGTATTCCATTTGGAAAAGCTCAAACTTTATCTATACGGTAATCCAGTGCCAGTAGTCTCATTGCTACACTAGAGAAAAATCAAAAAGAAGTTACAGTCAGATAATCACACACACCAATTTTAAGCCTTAACTTCACTTTTGGTGATTATAGGAAAATTAAGTACCACTCACACTTGAATGGTTTTCATCTAAGTAGATCTTAGTCTTACACAGACTTCCTTAACTATTATTTGGGGAGGTATCATATTCAATTATTTTGTGTGATATTACAATAAAATTTTACACTTGGTTATTTTATTATGCTGTTCTCTATCATCTATGGGAAATAATCCTGTTAATTAAAAAAAAATTAAGGAGGCAGAGCTAAGTATAAAACTTCTTAACTCTACACATTTCTCCTAGGTTTCTCATTCCCTTGATCACTGTAAAGGCTGGCTACATCATTCAAAGAAGTTGAGGCGAAGGAGAGGGAATATCAAATTAACATCTATCAAGTTTCAAGCACCGTGCTTCATTTTATCCTCACAACACTCTGAAACTGATATTATAAGCCCAGGTTATACAGATAGGTAAACTGAGGCTCCACTTTGCAAAGGTCACACAACTAGCGTAGGGACTCTCTTGGACGGCTCACGCAAGGCCCTCTGGGCACAAGTCTCTTTGTGTTGGCTATACCCATGACCCCTTTCTAAGGTGTTATCTATATGTGGCCATATTTTCTACCAAATAACTCCATCACTCTGGCCACAGCTAACTGGACAAGGGATTAGCGCTGGGCCCAAAGCCGGCAGCCCATGAGGAGACCTTCTGTGAAAAGGCGGCTGGCCAAACAAGTGTGTTCCTCTCTTGTAAAAGAATGCAAGACTCTGAGGGAGGCAGAGAGATGGAACAGGAGCACCAAGACATCTAATGAAAAGGCAGTGAGTAGTAACCATGACACAACCTCTCAAGCACCATGACGGGTATTCACAAGTTATGGGACTGGAGGAGAGGAGTGCCAGTAGGAAGGCCTGGCAGGCAGATGCTTTTACACAGAGTTTAATTAGTACTCACAAAGCACTAATTAAGAAAATGGCAACTAAACCAAGAACAGAGAGATTTCCTAAAACTATAAACCCTTGAATATGCAAATTATGAAAATGAAATTATTGTAATCAATATTTCAACAGAACATTACTCAGTGTCTTCAGTACTGCACAGACAAAAAACATTCATTTTTATTTTTTTTATTTATTTATTTTTTTTTTAAGATTTTATTTATTTATTTTTCCCCCCAAAGCCCCAGTAGATAGTTGTGTGTCATAGCTGCACATCCTTCTAGTTGCTGTATGTGGGACGCGGCCTCAGCATGGCCGGAGAAGCAGCGCGTCGGTGCGAGCCCAGGATCCGAACCCGGGTCGCCAGCAGTGGAGCGCGCTCACTTAACCACTAAGCCACGGGGCCGGCCCCAAAACATTCATTTTTAGAAAGCTAAGGCTGCAATAACAAAGTAATGACAAATAGAAAAGCCACAAAAATCCTAGCTTCATTCTCTATTGTGGAACAGCAAGGAGACAGCAAGATTAGAAACAACTAAGAATTCTTTTTTTAAATAGCAATACCCAGGCCCCATGTCAGATCAATAAAATTGGAAACTTAGGGGTTGGGCCTAAGAATTATAAAAGCTCCCCAGGCAATTGTACAGCCAGGAACGAGACCCACTACTCTAGATCAGCAGGTCTCAAAGTGTGGCCCAAGGATCATCAGCATCAAAGTCCTCTGGGAACCTGGTAGAAATGAAAATTCTCAGACCCCACTCCAGATCACTGAATCTGAAACTCTGAGGGTGGGGTTCAGCACTCTGTTCTACAAGACCATCCAGGTGATTCTGACGCTCCACAAAGTTTGAGAACCATGGCCTTAGATGATAGTAAAAGGTGAATCTTTCTTTTTATTATAGATATATAATTATTTATCAACAACAAACTGAAAAAAAATCCTACAAATACGACAGGCAAAGGCTAATTTCCTCAATAAAGACAACTCAGCTAAAGACATAAAAAGCACACAGATACTGAGGACATCATAACACGAGGATAAACAAGCAATTAAAAAGATGTTCTTTAAATTTTTAATTATATAAAAATCAAGATACAAACTTATATGTACAAAGTTGCTTAAAATTGAGGGGCGGGGGAACATACGAAGAAAAACATATCAAAACATAGCCATATATAGCGAAAATATAATATCTTGATCCCTACCTCATATTATAAACAAAAGTTAAAAACACAATTGTAAAATTAGTAGAAGGAGATAAAGGAGAGTATTTGTATGGTCCTGGGGTAAGGAAAGCTTTCTTAAGACAAAAAAAGCAGAAACCTTAAATACAGTGACTGATACACTTGAAAACATCATAATTTTAAACTGCTATAAAATAAAGACTCCAAGAACAAAATGAAAAGACAAGCCACGGACTGTAAAAAGATATTACAACATATATAACAGACAACAGGTCACTGCCAGGACATTTATACAGAACTTCCATTGATCAACACAAAAACCTACTTAACCGATAAGGAACTGATAAAGCACACGACTGAGCGAGTCACAGAAGAGAAAATTTAAAACGACTCACAAACACATGAAAAGTTACTCAAACCCACTAGTAATAAGGAAAGTGAAACCAGAAGCAATGAGACACCACTATTTTGTCTATCAGAACAGCAAAAATTAAAAAGTCCATCAATATCAGAGTGGTACATTTATGCTTTGCTGTTAGGATATAAATTGGACAGCTGCTTTGGTGCACAACCAAGCCAGCCTGGCCAGCAATTCCAGTTCTGGGTATGAACTCTCAAGCACATACGCACGGAGAAATCTGTACTATCTTGCTCCTTACAGCACTGCTTTGCGACAGCAAAAAAGTGGAAACAACCTAAATTTCCATCAGCAGGGAGAAAGGTAAATGAAATGTGGTACATTTTATTCAAAGACGTACTATACAATAGTAAAGGGAAATAAATAGATCTATATGTATCAAAATGCATAGTTCTCAAAAAATTGTTAAGTAAAGAAGGTAAGTGATAGAAATGAAATTTTAAAATCATTTACATAAATTCTTGAAACCTTTGAAACATTATAATTTTCTATCTATCTAGCCATCTATCTATGTAAAAAATAATTTAAAAATCACCTGTAAGACTACACAGCAAACTCACAATAGAGGTTACTTCTGGGTAAGGGATAGCGTTTTCTTCAGCTTTTCAATGCCCCTCCCCCTCCAAAAAAAATGCTTTGCCAAAAAATAAACAAGTCAAATAACATGCTATATAATATAAACATTAGCGCCCACAGTAATGATTTGAGCATGGTGTGCTCAAACCATGTGATTTTTATTATTTTATTATAATACAAATAGTCAAGTCAAAATTAGATGACACTTACGCATGTAAGGCAGTTTTTCTGGGCAGGGGAGGTATGGTGAATATGTGAAGTTTTCCGGAAGATATGTTGTTGTTTGAACAAGATAATCACTTGAATTATTGCCTTCAGGATAATCTTAGAGAGAGAGAAAAAAGTTACAACCAAAAAATTGCCTTTTGCTTTACTCCTCGTATGAAATATGTCACTGTCACTGTAAGAAGACCTATAATATGCAATCTACAGCAGTACTTAAAAGCCATTATCTTTAAAGACCTAGAGAAAAGCAAAATACAGCTGCTTTTTAAGGCTACCGTCCCATTCACCCTTCACCGCTGCGGAATAGACCTTTCAGCATGATTTCCCAAGAGACCCCTGGGGCCAAGTCTAGAGAGCAGCATGGCCTGATCTGTGCATACATACAGAGCAGTCCCATTTGCGACCATATGAGAACACCTGCTCCCATCCCTCCCCAAGCTGAGCCACTGAAAGAGGGTGTGAAGTACACAAGGAAATCCTCTCAACCATCCAAACAACCAGGGGTGTTCCGGACGACCACACAACCACAGCGTCTTGCTTCCAGCATCCACAAAGCAGAGGGGTGGGAGTAATGTTTTCTCATCACTCGACACATAAGAACTGAGATTTACCCACTCAACTTACTTCAGAACACAGTCATTTTAAATCTTTAACTTAGACATTCCCAACCCATGGGCTGCAGTCCCTGGGAAGCCCTGGAGCTATTATTACATTAGGTCCATTATCTTCAGATTCAGCAAGTTATACAGCATAGAGGGCACTGGTTTAGTGCACCCAAGGCTAATGCTGAGTTCAAATCCTTGCTCCAACAGGCACTAGCTTTGTGATACAGGGCAAGAGAACGTAGTTTCTCCTCTGCGCCTACCTCACGTTGTTTTTAGATTTCAATAAGATAAATGTATAAAGTGCTTAGAACAATCCCTGTCCACATACATATTCAATATCTATGAGTGAGTAGCCATGAGTGATTGGTCTAGAGATGAGCACCTGATCCAATATGGGACACTCAGAGCCTTAGGATTTTTGAACATGGAACCAGAGATCACATTTCAGTCCCTTTCTAGAACAAAGTTCTGAGATGCAAATCTGGAAACCACGACCTGCCAGTTTCCTGCCACGTAAGAGGTAGCTCATCTAAGAGAACGAAACCAACATGCAGTAAGAGACGTGATGGAAACAACTGATTAAATCACCGTCTGTCTCCTAGATCACAAACCATGAACCCACAGAAAATGAAGCTTTAGCAGACACTTTAGGAAAACGTGAAGATATTCTTTCAATCTTTAGTAATCTTCTGATGAGACAGATATTCCTATCTGAACTGGCCTGTATGAAGAGATAAGAAAAAGGAGAACAAGCATATGACTTAAGAGAGGCCTGTCTGCCAGTGACCAGCAAGCAAAAGGCTGAAGGTCACATTTATATACCTTATTGAGCTGTAAAAGGTAAACCCTCTCACCGTGGAAAAATGGTAGAATCTTGGAATTTGAAGATGAAGTATGTGAGAAGAGTCAAACAAAACTGAACACCTCCCCTATACACCTTTGCCTAACATAAATATTCACTTATCATCAAAATCAAGTGGATGAGGATGCAGCCTGGGAGCCAGGACCACACTTCAGACCAAAGAGACTCACCCCACCTCCTGGCCCACCCATTGGAAGGGGCCCTGCAGAGGCTGCTAAGCAGAGGTTTATGGGGATCTGGTACCAAGGAAGAGAGAGAAGCTGGAGGAGAAGGTCCAATTCTAAAGGACTGCACGGAAACCCCAGTTACGAATTTGGCAGGGCATCAGTAAGGTTTTAAAGTAACCGCACTGCCAGAAAACCCCAACATGATAAATAGCGACCAATGATGGTACAACTGCTAAGGCCCAGCCACTAGGAAGGGGCAAGGCCCCAGTGAGAGAATCTTCCCCAAAGCCTTTCTCCAGAGGAACCCTGCAAAGCATCTGACAAGGAAAACCCTCCAAGCCAAAAGGGAGAGGGATTCAGTGGACATCAACTGTTCTGTATGCCGAGGGACAGACCAAGACCACAGAAACTCCTCCAGTACCCCACACTCTTATATCTCACTCACACGTATCTGAAAGATTTAAAGATACTAAACATAAATAAGTGTAAGGGAGTCCAATAAAGTTCTGATTCTTTCCTTAAGATGCTTTTTAAAAAATATATCTAGATACACGTTAAATTTCAGGTTATATTCAAAAAAGTTTTCTCCTTTTATGAGGACTCCTACTATGCTAGCAAAGCATCTACTATACATTATCCATTTGTAGGAGCTGAAAACAGAAGTTAAATAAGGTTGTTTCTGGAAGTCCACTGCCTTGATATGTTCCAAAGACTCATTTTATTACAGTCCTGAGGCAGATAAATATCAACTTTCTCACGCAATCCTCAAGTAATTTCTTAATGTCATGTAGTTAACTTTGAGAATATTTTCTTACTCTGCATATATATTAATTCTTGTCATTAATCCTTGGGCTCCTTCTCTTAGCCACACACTATGAGCCTATAAATCCACATCCAACTCACAGATTTTAAGTTCTCTAGACGTTTCTGCAAAACAAACTGTTAACATAGCTCCCCTTGAGGAGGCTACAGGCAACAGGAGGGCCAGAGGATTGTTTCACTTTTCATTTTAGTGCTAGAATGACTAATCTTTCACAAAAGAACCCATGGATCACTTTTATCAGTTTTTAAAGAACCAAATTCAGAAAAAAATTTTTTTTACCTTAAAGACATACAAAATGAATATATATTCACTTCCTTTAAATACAAAGTTTTGGAGCTAAACATTATTCTTGGCCACATCATTATAAATGATCATAAGGATCTCAACTCGTTGCCAAACTTATAGAAACATACATCTCTGTGCTCCTTGAGTACTGTGTCCAGCGGAATTTATATCATCCCAATGTATTATGTATTATGTATACCCCTGCCCTTAGTCTGAATACCTCTGTTAAGTGAAATCAAATTGCCTTTGATTTCTAGTATCTAATAAAGTACCTACAACATGGTAGAAGCTTACTACAAATGAACACTTCACAACTGATAATAGAGCCAATAACGATTTAAGCTTTTGGAGACTATACTGTAATAAACCCATAAAATCATTATTCCTGCAGAAGTGGTTGGGTCCACAAGTAGAACCACTGCTTTGAAAATCAGGAACAGTTTTAAAGGTAATGCGTGAGAGATGCATTTGAGACTGATCCCCACAGCTCTGTAAAATGTAGACACTATTTCATCTAATGAATAGATGAAAACACAATGAGTTCCAGGCCCCCTGCCTTCTTCCTCCCTTCCAGAGCCACACCCAAAGAAAAGGAAAACAGCATGAAAACTGCTGGACAGGTCCCCTCCGCAGCTCTCACTGGACCTTATCACTTAAGGGAAAAGGAGGATAGGACCACAGGAGATCTCTCAAGGGTTATGTTCTTCCTGCAAAAGGGCAGCCTAAAAACAGGTAATAGAAACTCAAGGAGAGTTCCAGTCTGTTTACCACTGGATTGTCAGGTGGTCTAGCAGTGTCTGAGGGCCTCAGACCATGCATCCATCAAATAAGGAAGTGTGCTGGGTAATTTCTAATAAAACTACTAGCTCTAAGGCCACAAGACCCTTATAATCTGCTTTGGTAATTATTCACTGAATACATCTCGTTTTCTTAATTTGACTGACTCCATAGCTACAAGGCAAGGCACTATTTGATCATAAGAGTATATGACCTCTATACAAAAATATTATATATATATATATCTCTATTTATACTTGATGCTTCAGAAAGCCAGGAACAGGGTTAAAAACTCCCTTTTGAAATCAAATGTACTTATAAATATCATAACCTATTTGCCATTAAGTGTTAAATTTTATTTTTTGTAAGCTATTTTTTTTAACCTATTTGCCATTAAGTGTTAAATTTTATTTTTTGTAAGCTATTTTTTTTAAACAATTCTATTTTTTTTTTTGTGAGGAAGATCAGCCCTGAGCTAACATCCATGCCAATCCTCCTTTTTTTTTTTATAATTTTATTTATTTATTTTTCCCCCAAAGCTGCAGTAGATAGTTGTATGTCACAGTCGCACATCCTTCTAGTTGCTGTATGTGGGACGTGGCCTCAGTATGGCCGGAGAAGCGGTGCGTCGGTGCGCGCCCGGGATCCGAACCCAGGTCGCCAGCAGCGGAGCGCGTGCATTTAACCGCTAAGACACGGGGCCGGCCCAATCCTCCCCATTTTGCTCAGGAAGACTGGCCCTGAGCTAATATCTATTGCCAATCCTCCTCCTTTTTTTCCCCCAAAGCCCCAGCAGATAGTTGTATGTCATAGTTTCACATCCTTCTAGTTGCTGTATGTGGGAGGCTGCCTCCTTCTAGTTGCTGTATGTGGGAGGCTGCCTCCTTCTAGTTGCTGTATGTGGGAGGCTGCCTCCTCCTAGTTGCTGTATGTGGGAGGCTGCCTCAGCATGGCCAGAGAAGCGGTGCGTCGGTGCACGCCCGGGATCAGAAACTGGGCTGCCAGTAGTGGAGCGCTCGCACTTAACTGCTAAGCCACGAGGCCAGCCTCTGTAAGCTATTTTTTATTGACATATAACACTATATTAGTTTAAGGTGTACGACATAATGATTTGACGTATACGTTGTGTAATGATTACCACAAGTTTAGTTAACATCCATTACCACACATAGTTACAAATTTTTTTTCTTGTGATGAAAATATCTAAGTGTTAAATTTTAAATGAGCCAGTACTTGTTAATCAATTCTCCCCTAGAGTTCAGTTAGCTCTTTGTACATATTATGGGCCATTATCTCCTTTTTGGCAAACTATATTTGTATTAAGTCTGTGCAGAAATAAACAACTGCATTATAAATAACTATGTTTCCATCTCTCCCCAAGGCTGGAGATCCTCATATAAAGGGAGGATGTTTTCCTTAATGTCGCATCTCCAATATCTAATTAAGTATACTAACTATACTAATTATCAATGTAAGGGAACACAGCAGAGCCTCATAGTTACCTGCTCAAACTCCACTTTCTATTTCTCCCTAGGTCACAAAGCCTCAATTTCATTGAGAGCATCAGTGAGCCCAGCTCAAAGACTATAATCCCCAGGGTCGTTATGACTAAGTTCTGGCCAATGAGATGTACGCAGAAATACCATGTGAGACTTCCAGGAAAGCTCCTTACAAGGGGAACTCTATTTGTTCTTCTTCCCTCTTCCTTTCCTCCTTCTTACTGACCCAAGCACAAATATAAAGACTGGAGCCCGGCAGCCATCTCAGACTGTGAAGCTACACAACAGAGCAGAAGAGGGAAAGCATGTGAAGACTTTCTCCACAATAGCAACAGATATCCAACTTTCCAACTTCTTCTACGTAAGAACATAAGCCTCATGTGTTTAAACCCCTGCAGTCTTACAACCAAATCCAATTCCTAACTGGGAACTGACTGTCTCCTGAGAATAATTATACTATCAGTAAAACAATCATATGAAAAGTTTTCAAAGGTTCATAAAAAGCAAACTTTAAATCGAAGTATGCCTTGGCTGTTCGGTCTTTATTGAAACTATGACTTGGTGAGGGGAGGAGAGGATTTTTCTTTTTTTTTTTTCAGTTGCTGGGGGGGAAGTTGATCTTGCCCAAGGAATTGGTTCTCCTAGTCAAGCTCAACATTCCCACGCACAACTTATCCATACCCCAGGGAAAGAACCTGATTATACACAGACTTTTAGCACTCACTTTTACAAATACAGTAACCTAAAAATGCTTAGTATTTCTGTTCAGTTGAATGAACTTTCAATGAACACTTTCCCAATCAACTTATCCAATCAGGACAAGTCCTAGAGAAGCTTTTAAAATGTTTAAACTTCTCCTGAAATTGACCTACTACTCAGAGGACCAATTAATGCAGAAGACCAGTTAATGAGACTTTTGTACTATTAAAATATCAACTATGATGAGACAGTCTTTCTAAAAGAAATTTCTTTAAAGTTAAAAAGGAGAAAACAAGAGTGTTTTGATTTGTGGCATCATAACAAATCAGGCAAATGATTAGAATGGACTTTGTAGAACCATGTGTGACATTAAATTAAGAATCAGTATGTTACAGTCTTTAAGTTTTAGACGGGTCCAAACTATTACCCATCTTAACATAGATTTTAAGAAAAAACACCAATGGTTGGGAGATAGGGACTTCCGTTTAGTAGAGTGAATATGTGTGTAGTTTACAGTGGCTCAATGAAAAACTGTTGACACAAATTAAATCTTTTATTTTAACTGTTTAAAATGGGAATATAGAAGATGCAACAAGTGACAATCAGCCATTGGACCCTTTAAAGTAACACAATATTTCAGAGACAACGTGGAAACACTGCCATAGAGAAGCATAAGCATTCTTCCACAATAACTAAATCTATTTACATCAATTCTACCATCATTAAATCATTAGTTTTGCCTATTACTTAGGTTTTAGCCTTATGTGATTCTGATGGAGATTCTTCTGCCAGACAATATTTTAAAAAGACAAGAAAAGCTACTGATTTCAAATTCTATATAATTTCTCCTTTAGCCTCTAAAAAGGCCATAAAATGATTAAGAATCTTCTCTAATTGAAAATGATAAGTAGTTTCTAGATATAGTCAGAAAAATATTTTAGGAATTAGAACGGGCATAAAGAAAGAGGGCAGAATGGCTAATGTGAATAAATTATTCTCATTGTAGTTAATTTCTCTTAAATACAACAGGTGAACTTAAAAAATACAAGCTGCTTTTCGTATTTTAATTTATGTTTGCAAGAATTAACTTAAGTATCTTTGTACAAAACCCTCATCACCTTTGTAGAACAGAATACATGACAGCCCTGGCTTGAGCAAGAAAAGAATCTCCCAGCACAAATAGTAGGAGATACCCTCATCTTTAGCAGGGAGTTACTGGAGGCAAAACCAGAGCTTGAGAGAATTGGTTTTCTGCGTTATGACTACAAGGTAAGAAGTAGAAGCTAAGCGAGAGTATGCAGGAAGCAATCTTACCTGTACCGTTGAGTGTAGAGTTTTTATTTGTGTACAGCCTGATCATATGTCCTATTGTTTTCACATTTTCTCTCAGCATTATTCCTCGAGCTTGCACCATAAAGAGATATGTGTTGGCTATAAAAAAAAAAAGAGAGAGAGAGAGAGAATGTATGACTCAGTAAGCCTTTTTTAATTTAATAAAGTAATATTCAGAATTAGGAAACTGCCCAATAAACGCAAACTGACTCAATTAGCATATCCAAAGGGAAAACGGAAATATAAAATGACTATTTCCCATTATCAAAAACTTACAAAAACAAACTACTTTTTTAAAATAAAAATAAAAAATTATAAAGTAGTAATGTCCATCAAATAGAACGAGACTAAATGAACAAACTGAAATAGCATAATGAATTCCTTTATCCATAAATGATTTTCTACCATAAAATATACTCAGAAATTTCAAAAAATCATTTTATTACAAGTATTCAATCATATCGTCGTAAAATTCACTTTCTCTAATTCTATATTATTTCCCTCAAACCAAAAACTCCACAAAGGTGAAGATTCCTTATCGAATCACAAATATTTTATCATAAATCACCATAATATCCACTACGGATATGGATCTTGCAAATTATCAATGTGTTGGAGGAAGCAGGGGGCAGGATGATCTAGAATCAATATCTATTGTGGTAATTTCTCTCTAAGAGTTAATTACTTGAACTTTTACACTCCTTTTCAATAACAAATCTACCTACCAGGATTGTAAAAGCAGATGAAATCAAAGTCAATGTTCATTCTCAAGTTGGTCAATTTAATTCTTCGTGATAAGGGCTTCAAAAATAGGCCCCTAATTTCTTCCTTCAGGAGAAACTGGTAAATTGACAAAGATTATAAAAATCCCTGCCTTCTGAGATGTCAAGCCTCCTCAGAGAGGCACAGAACTAAAGTCAAAAGATCCTTCCTTTCTTGGTCCTGATTCTGCTGGCGCAGTGTATAACATTGGACAGCTCACCACATCTCAGTTTCATCACCTAAAAAAGGCAATACTGCACTAGGTGTTCTCAAAAGCCCCTTCTACTCTAAATTCTCCAAGCATAAAGCCAAAAAATCAGGAAATCCATTCAGACAAGAGAAGGATGCTCATCATGATGGCAAAACAAAGAAACTGCAAAGCTCAGCTAACGACTCTTTCAATTTTAACATAAGCTGTCCCTGAACACAGTAATGACACTCTCGAAAAATGAATGCCGAATGAAAAAATTGAAAATGCCAACAAATTTTCTGGGCCCTGTTCTACTTCCTCAAAATAGTACAGAGAGATGAACAAAATGTAATGTTTACTACCTCCTTCCCATTTTTTACATAAATTTGAACTTGCTCAAAGTACAAAGGAGCAGAGAGTAAATAAAACCAGTAGAGAAGCAGAGTAAAATAACACTTCTTTCACCTTCAATTCATAAAAGAGAAACAGAAATCTAGGTTTCACATAAGCTTTATCTGGATCATTTTTAAGAGCATGTCTATATCCTCTCTAGAAAGCAGTTCTATATAATTAGATTTAACTTGTTTAGGCTTGAATTTATTATACCGGGTTACAAACACCACGAGTTTTCATGTTTTTGCCCTTGAGTGGACTTTAAAAGAAAGAAGAAAAGAGATAAAGTAAAAAACAAAAAAAGAAAAAGAATAGCCAATCAAAAATGTGGAAAAATGTTCAGTAAAAGCCAAACTAATATTAGCAATTCTACCTAAACCAAGATCTCAAGTTCAACCGAAAAGTGCAGGAAAAAAAACATCAAATAGATTACTAACGCCATTTGATTTACAACACGTTAGATTATTTAATCTAAAGTTGTATGTGAAATTTGTTATCAGCGATGTAAATATCTTATATTTGTTCTGCACCAAACTCTAAAAAGGAAACCTGCTGTGGAATGGCAGAACTGAGCCCTGGGTTAAGCCAAGGCCAGTACTGTTCCCAGACTTCAGGAAACAGTGCTGGCCTCAGCAAGGATACGTAGGTAAGGACATATGTGCATTACCGTGTGTCCTGGAAACAGAACTTTTTAAACTATATAGCTTTTACTTTTAATTAATACACCCACTCATATAAAGAAAATCGTCTGACATCTTGAAACCAAGTCAATTTAAGTAGCAAGGAAAAGGTCTAGGATAGGAAAGAATAACCAAAGTCAACTATTCCTAAAAACTTTCAAAATATCCGATAACAAAAGGAAAAAAAAATGTCAAGAAAAAGAAAAATGATTACTGATGGTACCTGGGACAAAGGTGAATCATTTACCAAAAGAATGCATTACCATTCATGAGATGGACGGAGAAAAAATAAAGGAAAGCGAGACACCAACCTCTCCAAATGGAAACTCTATTGGTTTATTTTAAACCTTCACAGCTAATTGAGTTACATTCCTTAGATTAATGGTCCTTGTGGGTTTAATCCCTAATGATCAAAACCCATTAGGGAATGAAGCTGTGTTTAAATAGAGAGTCGTGTTAACAGGAAGAAACTGACATGTCAAAGTGTTGCAAGGCACACTAAACCCACACGACAGGTTCCGACCGTCTGACTTACAAACATCATAAAACCATGCTAACCCACACTCAAGTAACTATATGCCTGCTAACTATCGTTAATATAAAATGTAATGTCTTATCGGCAAGCCAGTAAGTTAGACAAAATCCTGGTCTAAAATTTCTATTCCAACTTATAAGAACGGCATTTCAGAAAACAAATGGGGAAATCTTTCCCAGTCTTTCCCTTTGGTCTCAAAACAACTCAGAAATACACTAAAACTACCATTGCAATCATGCTGGTGTTTGTTAATTTAGCTCATTTGCTACTTGCCTCTGCATTGTGAGACATAAATTGAACATTTACCAGTTCTGCTTTCCAGAGGGAAAAAAACTACAATTTATAAAAACTTCAAAAATCAATAGTTTACAACAGCTTCTAGGCATCCTGCCCTGGGTTTGTGAGGAAAGAGATTTATGAACTTGCCCCATTCTCAACTTATGAAAACTAAGGGACACATTCACCATTACTGCGTCTCCCCACCCCTTTCCACATCCAGCTTTGTTCAGTGAAAGCTCATAAGTACTCAAGACAAGGGGAATACACCAGGCTTCAGTGACCTGGAAAGGTTTCCTGAGCTCTGAAGGACTCAAACACAACACCCCTCATTCCCGATATCCATGTTCCTAACTGCAGGGAGACACTGCCAACGGTCCTTTAACAAAAAGGAAGTCAAGTGAAGAGCGGGTTTTGAGAGGGAGATCATGTTGGTTAGGCATTCTGGCACGCAGTTATAAATACAGGACTGCAGCTAAGCAAGAGGGACTAGACATACAATTTGGGGAGACAGTCAAATAAAAGTAAAAGTGGGAACTATGGTGGTGAATTACCACAGAAAAAATTATCCAGAAAGGAGATAAGGTGAAGTTCAGATGCATAGAGACAGACCACAAATAAGAGGCACAAAGATAAAAGACCCCAAGTTGAATTCGTCTGAGCCTGAATGCCGTGAAGGAAGAGGGAACAGTCAATCGTGTTAAATGCCATGGAGGCTAAGAAGAAAGACTAAAAAGCAACAGCTTAAAAAGTAAAAAACTAATCCTCAGTACCCACTCTTTGCCAGGCATCCTTAGGAGAGCTTCACATATACTAATTTATTTAATCCTTACAAGCAACCTTATAAGGGAGGTATTAATATTATTCACATTTTATGGATAAAGAAACCGAAGCACGGAGTTAAGGAACTTGCTCAAAGTCATACAGTTATTAGCAAGTGGTGGAGCTAGAATTCAAACCCCCCGAGTCTGCCTCCAGCAGTCTAGCTCTTTACCACCATACCATTCAGCCTCTTAAAAATGCTACTGGGAGATCACTGTCAATCTTTAACAGCAGTCTCAGGAAAGTAATGGAAACAAAAGGAAAACAGTAAAGAGTTAAGGGGATAATGACAAAGTGAAAGCAGTTAAGTTTCAGAAAAGGTAAGTGAAAGCAAGGTCACGGGAAGCTTTTTGGAATAGGAGGGACGTGAGCATGACTGTGGCCTGAGTGGGAAGAAAGAGTAAATTTAAATTTAAGGCACAAAAAGAAGTAAGAGAAGGGGGGAAAAAGAACATTTCCAGCGATGGGACAGTGTAAGAGAGGCTCTGAAGTGCAGAGCATATCCAGGGAATAACAATCCAACTTGAGTAGAGTTTGGTAGCAATGGAAAATAAGTTGTAAAGGTCCAAGTGGATGGATGGTGTGAAAAAAACAGAAAGGAGAGAGAGAGAACTAGAGGTCATCGTGAAAATGAGAAGTCATGATAACAGAGGTGAGAAAGTGCCAAAGTGGAAGGTTAAGAAGACTGATACGGAGAGGTGCAAGGGAGAGCAGGCCTCAGCCATGAGGACACCCCAGGCATGGCCAAGCAAGTGAAGACGGAAGACAAAGACCAGACTTCCTGACGGTCACCACAGGGACATCAGTGGGGGACAGAATGGAGCAGGAACATTTTGAATTAAGTACTAACTGCCTAAACCATCCTGGGGATGCAAAGTGTTGGAGGGCACAGGTTTCTAAAGAGAAGGGAAGCTAACATTTATTGAGTACCTACACTGATCAGGCACTGAGCTAAATCCCATATATAAATATATGTAAATATAGATATATATAATTATATTTCACTTAATTCTTAGAACCACCTGTACATGGCAGGTGTGTGCAAAATGTGTGTGCACATCCTAATTCCCAGAACCTGTGAATATTTTCTTATTTGGAAAAGGAGTCTTTGTAGAAGTAATTAAGTTGAGGATCTTGAAATGAAGAGATCATCCTGGATTATCTGGGTAGGCCCTAAATCCAGTGACCAGTGCTCATAAAAGAGAAAGGCAAAGGGAGATTTTACACACACGCACACATAGGAGAAAGCAATAGGAAGATAGTAGCAGAGATCGGAGTGACGTGGCCACCAGCCTAGGAAGCCAAGAAATGCCCACAGGCACCTGAAGCTGGAGGTGAGAAAAGATTCTCCTCTAGAGTCTCCAGAGGGAGCACGGCCCTGCCAACATTTTGATTCCAGACTCCTGGCCTCCAGAACTGTGCGATGATAAATTTCTGTTGT